TCTTGTGGTATTAACATGCATTTAAAATGGTTTCCATATTTGGGTAAGCAAATTCGAGGTTCTTGTAAGAACATGTCTCATTCTTTAAAGCGTGGGCTCTCTCGTTTTTAGTGAACTATTGGAGGCTCGTGTATATGTCACTGTAGATTCACATGGCTCTTAAATTCTCAACTTTTTTCAACCTAATTAGTTTTTCGATTTTTTTTTTTTTTTAAATTTTCTAAATAAAAATAAAAATTCAGGTTGTGTTATTTCCTTCACTTACTACTTTCCGTACACAATGCATCAGATGTAATAATAAGACTTGGCAAATGAGATGACTAATAATCTAATATCAACTCTCTGCAAAAAGCTCCGTCTCTTCTTTGGTTACTTGTTGAGTTCTGATTTGTTGTCCACGAAAAAGTAATACATATTCTGATCTTTAAAACGCATATTAATCGTTGGAGTTGGAGAACTAATTTCTCTAACAAAGAAGACATTTTCCAAAAAAACAAAAAGTAGTTAAGTCATCTAAATCAACCGGTCGTCGTTAGGGAACGTTTTTAACTTCCTAATTGCAATTAGTCAGCTCTCTTAATAAATTGACGTTGTTGTTGAGTACAAAACAAAACAAAAACATAGATATTTCACCATGAATTTTAGATAAGATAATTTATTTATAAATAAGGTAAACAAAGAATCTAAAAATGAGCTGTTAGGTGATGACATTAGTAGTGGGCCCAATAAGCATTGAAGCCCACATTCATTAAGAGACATTGATGACACCTCACCTTCTCATCTTTGCCTTGTCTCTCTGTCTCTTTCACTCACCACTTCCCTTTCTATGATGAGATTTAATAAAGATTCTACATAACCTTTTTTTTTCTAATTTAAAACAAGTTTTTTCCCTTTCTTTCTCTTCTGACAACAAAATGTATTTGAAATCTAGATGGTAAAACTATCACAACCCATTACATATTTACATACCATGGTCAAGTTTCTTCAAATTTTCGCCTATTTTAACATTTGTTGCATGCAACTTAGAGAATTCTCTGATCAGAATCGGCTTTGAATTCGAGATGACGGCTAGCTAGTGAAGGAAAAAAATGACCGTTTTGACACATTAAACAGTTTGGATATACATATATAATTTTTTAAAAACCGCAAACTCATGCTTCGCCTGTTTTTGCTAGGATCCGTCCTGTCTTTAGTTTTAATAATTTTTGTAAAGTCTTGCTAAATGTTTGTGATCCGAGTAAGAAAAAAGCACATAGTTAGTGGAATTTGTAAGAAACCAAAAAACTACTCTTTCTGTATCAAATTAGATGATTTTTTGAGTTTTTAAGACAAAATTAA